CTCTCTCTCTCTCTCTCTCTCTCTCTCTCTCTCTCTCCCCCCTTGCTCTCGCTCTCAGCTCACAGTCCTCGCTCGTCTCTCAGAATGTCTTACTCTCTCTCACAGTACAACTATGGCTATGGCGCCCAGCGCCGTTGACTACACTGCACTATGCTCACTCTCATTGACTTGGTTGCCTCCCCAATGCACAAAAACGTAGCAGCGATTCCGCATTGAGTGCCCAACACATTGTGTTGAAGTCCAGGAGCTGCTGGACTTTTATACTTGCTGACGCGCCTTCCAGGCATCTTCTGCTGGTTATGGGTTGTCTCCCCTGTCCTTTGTTTGCTGCTTCCGGAAGCTTACGGATTCTCCTTCAATCTGGCTGTTTGGTCGGACTGACTGACCCCTCTGGCCTAACGATCTCTGTGTCCTTGGCTGAGGTTCCTGGTGCCTTCTAAAAATAGTAAAATACTCTTTAGCTGAACTTTAGCCCATAATAACTATTATTATTATTATCTAACAGGAAGTTTGTACCACGATCTACTTAACCAGGGTACGTACGCTTCCAAAGTCAGTGCTGTACAAAGGAGAGCTAGTCTTTTAGAGGACTCATGAATATTGTAGGGGTAGCTGGAACCGCTAATGGAACTTGAAATGAGGCTTGGGACTAGGATCTGGGACTCGGGACTCTGTGAATCAGTTCTATTTTGGGAACACTAGGGCCCAGTCAAGGTTTTCAGTTTTAAATGCGTTTCAGTCGCGGTTTCACGAATTTTGCTCCAAAGCGTGGAAAATCGTGAATGTATCCAATCCAGCTTTAGGGTTGGGTGGGGATGCGTTGTATTCGAGGGATGCCTGAAGTGAATTCAGAACTGCAAACGTGACGGTGCCATAGTTACCCCTTCTTTTTTTTTTCTTCCCCTTACCACCACTACCTCCGAGGCTGTTTTTGCCGAGCCTGATTTTCACTGTGCACCAAGTTTTGCCGAGCCGGAGCAGTTGCATTCAAAAAGGAAACAAAGAAAAAGAAGAAAAGAAGAAGAGGATCCTGTTCAAGTACAGTCGGGGCTTACAGTTTAGACAGCATTGGCAGCAGTTTGTAGCTTCTCAGTCCTTTCTTGTTTTGCATGTTTTATCCGACAGGTTCTTATAATAGTCCTGAGAGGAAAAGAGTAAGCAGGGCAAGCTGACAGTCAATCCTCCACGTTGCTGGAGTAATCAATGCTGATCCGGGTTCGGCCAGACGGAAGGAAGCGTGTGGGTGTCCTATGTTGTATTATTTCCTGACTAAAAAAAAAAAAAAAAAAAGAAAAGAAAAGAAGAAGAAGAAGAAGAAGAAGAAGAAGAAACCCTTATGCTGTGATTGAGGGCCGATACAGGATCCTACAGCGCTACCGTCTTCACCCGAATAGAACGCCCGGTCGTTATAGCTGTATTTGGCACAATTTTCGGTCCAGATGCAGCGATAATGACAAGGCGTTCTATTCGGGTGAAGACGGTAGTGTGACTATGAGGTAAGTAAGACAGTTAGCTCCTACGCGTGGAATATGCCCTGCCTGGCTGGCAGGGCACTACAAGGACATGAAAACGAGAGGAAAAAAATGAACCAACAGCAATCACGTTCCTCATTTAGTGGCCAGATACAGTCCTCAAAGCACTGGTGTAACTTCCACTTTGTGAGGGCCTTCCCCGACATCTCCGGATTCGAAACTCTTAGTTTTTTTTCTTCTTCATTTTCTTTTCTTCGGCCTCCAACCGATCCCCGAGCCCTGACTTTTTAGGAGTAGGCTACTAGATGGACTTTGCATTTGCCTGTGAAAGGTAGTGGTGGTTTAAAACTACCCTATATTCTTCTCTCATATACCTCACACTACCTACCATCCCAACAAGCTAGGGCCTACATATCTATCCCCTACGAGCTACTGCCTATGTGAGCCTATCCCCTCAGGGTTGAGCCTACCTGCTCAGGGTTGAACCTAACCCCTAGCACTGGATGGTGGGGGGGAAGAGATCCCCCCCCAAGACCGACCAGGGGGGCGCAAGCGAACTATTGCAGCTGGTGAACCAGAAGTGTGCCGCAGGGGGCTGAGGGAAGTCGAATGGAAGACATGGGGAATCAAACCCACGACCTCCTGAATGCAACTTGTGTGCTCTACCAACTGAGCTAGGCCACTGGCCCACTCTGCGAATCCTTTCATCATGTTCAATCTGGGATTTTTCTTCCCTTTATTATCATTTAGTTGATCCAACTCCATGGCCTATTTTTGGTTTCACTGGGAGCTTTGGCAAGTACCATTGGTGGTGTTATGTACATGAATCTTTTTACAGGAGGTGCCCTGTGCCTGTAGTTTTGGTTTAGGAATGATTTTGTGTACCATGGAAATGGAGATAGGTAGTCGTTGGAATGCATTTTGCATTTTGCGTTTTGCGTTTTGCGTTTTGCGTTTTGTGTTTTGTGTTTTGCGTATTGTGTTGTGTGGTTTGCGATTTGTGTTTTGTCACTTTCTGTTTTGTGATTTGTGTTTGCTCATCAGTAAGATCTTTGTGTTTTGTGTTTTGTGTTTTGTGTTTTGTGTTTTGCATTTTGTGTTTTGCGTTTTGTGTTTTGTGTTGTGTGTTTTGTGATTTGTGTTTGCTCACTAGCAAGATCTGATGATCAATGATCCTCCTTCCTTGTCAATACCTTGCGTGCTTGTTTGTTTGTAACTTGTCATACACAAAAAAAACATAATAATAATAAAAAATTGCAGGCGGCGACTGCACGTTTAGAAGCTCTTGAAAATGACAATGGCGCATTCGACGGGATTGAAGATGAAGATGATGATGCTTACATGGGGGAGGATACCGAACTTCAAGAAGGTTTGTCCGTTTCGTCTTCTTCGACTCTTTTGTCTTCTGCATTGTCGGACTCTTCGTCATGCTGTTCATGGCAGCGCCTTTGGTGTTGTCTTTGTGTTTGTAGCTGCAATGGTCACATTCTTTTTTCTTCTTGTAATCTCAAAATCGACGCCTAGTATTTGCAATATTCCAAACAGGCCTCAATGCCCAAGGCCAAAGACAAACTTTAACAAAGCGCTTATGCCTCATCTGAAACGTTTTTCACCTTTGCAGTAGCAGATGCAGATCCCAGGGCTCGATCCTTAGACCGCACTTCACCTGTGTACAGTACCCCTGTGTGTTTGAACCCGTGACCTGCATTTTAGGAGTCAGTTGTTGTCTGTCATAGGTCGATGTAGCTGTCTGGTCTTGAACCGCAGGTCTGTCGAGTAGGGGTCATAGTTGTGTAGAGGCCGTAGCTGTAGCAAGTCTGAAAGGTCAAGGTCTTAGCTGCTACAGTCCTGAAAGGTCAAGGTCGTAGCTGCTACAGTTCTGAAAGGCCAAGTCCGCAGGCTTCCGGAAGGTCCGTGTCGCATACCGTAACGGTACAGACCAGAACAAGAACCGACCTCTCTCACAAACTACAAGATAACACAGCGGAATGCTTAAATACCAATGATCCGAACAATCAATGTTGCCATGCAGACCAAACATACATCATCATCATTCCATGGTGTGAAGGGGCCTGGCGCTCACACAGGAAGAATGCGCCAGTCCCCAACTATACACAGACGAAGAAGAGGGGGGTTAGTCTAAGAAGAGGGGAAGATGGGAATGTCGTCAACACCAAGTCTTCGGTACAGTCCCAAATAATCCCTCGTCAAATGTCTGAATCCCAATGTCGAGTCTGGATCCAAATGTCGTCAAATCCCAAAGTCACCAATCTCTCTCTCTCTCGTAGTCTGCAGATACTGAGAAGTCAGGTAGCGAGAGGGTGAGAAAGAGATGGTGGACTTAGAAGAGGAAGAAGAAGAACTCTCTCTCTCTCTCTCTCTCTCT